TTCAAAATACAATAAAATCAACTTATGACATTTATTGTTAGTTATGTGAAGTGAATTAAACATGTTAAAAATATTAATTGTTTATAACCGCCGGTGTTAGCGTTACCGGAGATGTACCGCGCGGAAGTCGCACAATATAAACAATTAATATTTTTAACATGTTTAATTCACTTCACATAACTAACAATAAATGTCATAAGTTGATTTTATTGTATTTTGAAAGTCGCATGTCGAGTTACTGCTTATTCAAGTAATTTTTAGAGTTTTCATCCCCCATATTAAATTTTGAAAATCTGATTTCAGATTCAGATTCAGCGACTTCAAAAACCAATATATTAAAAAGATCGAACAGTTCAAAAATATAGTTTCACAAGGTGTTTCATGCGCAATGTCAAACGAGCGCGGCAATATAGAGGTTATTTGCCCCCCAAATATTTATATATAAAAAAAAAAAAAAAAAAATACATGTTCCTTAATTAGCTTTTCTTTTAAAGTTTTAATAGATTTCACTTTGATTAGATCAAAACTGATTTTTTGCAGCAAAAAATTGATCACTTTAGGGGTAGTTAACCCCCTAATTTTCACTCCCCCTCCAACATACCTAGGCCGATTTTCGTCTTCTATCAAAAGATACTTTTATACCAAAAATCATTAAGATCGCTTCACTGATCTCAAAGATATCGCAATTTTTCCATTTTACCCCCTATTTTGGGGGGTCGTTTCACCCCCTAAATATGTTTTTCCGCCGCTAAAAAAATACGTGTCTCTTAGTTTTTCATGTATTATAACATATCCAAATTTCAGAAAAATCGGAGAGTGACACTTCCGTAGTTTACTTGTTAGTACAACTCGCAGAAATTTTATATTTGTATTGTAGTGTGATTTATATGTATTTTTAAAATTTTTCTTTGTGAATTTTTTATCGAAATAAAATGAGATATTCAAATTTTTCCAACAGCACAATGTGGCACAAGTTAGTACCAATTTATGAAAAAATCGTGAACTTAATCGTGAAAAAGTGCGGGGCTATCTTAATTTCGTTTTTATTTTTTTTTTTTCTTAATTATTATTGATGTTATCGATATCGTGTTTGCGGTACAAATTAACACAATTGTAGCACAATACGGCACAATAAAGAAAAAGTCAAAATTTAAAAAGTGCGGGGTTATCAAAAATTTTTTTTTTTTTTTTTTATTTCCTTGAATATGTTTTGAGTTACTAGATTGTGGTTTACGGCACAATATGGCACAAGCGTAACACAATGCAGCACAATTCATAAAAATATAAATTCGAAAAGTGCGGGACCAACTTCACACACATAATATAATCACAAAGATAAAAATTTTGAAATTGTAGACAACCAAACTGGGCAAAAATATTAATTTATTAAATCTTCTTCACAACGTTTCGAACTTTGGTTTAGGTCATTATCAAATGAACGAATCATTAAGTGTTAAGGGGATGCCGGATGATGTTTTTACCGACCGAATGCAAGAATATTTAGTTTTTTTTATATAACTTTTTATTGACTATACTGATCAATAAATCCTTTTCCACGATTAAAGTACTTATAAAAACGGACCGCGCTAGCTATTTGCATATATAAATAGTTTGCATATATAAATCATATAAAAATCAAAAATTACAGTTTTGTTTTCGGCTGCTTTGTGTCAGTTCGTAATAATACTTATTTCATTAAAAATGTTCTGCAGTTTGTCTGTGCATGAAATATAGTATGCGCGGTAAGGATAATATGAAGAATTATTAGTAAACGATTAAAAGTGAGATTGCAAGTCTAATAAAAAAGTTATATATTAAAAACATTTTTACGCGTATGTGTTGTATACATGCATATGTTTAGATATGTGTGGTCCTAACCCGTCGGAGTTCGGCCAACGCTCCGGCATTATAAAATTAAATATGTGTAAAACACATGTGTCTTTGACGTTTAACTACCAACATTTATTTATTTATTTATTTATTTTTAACATTTATTTTTAAGTGTGCTACTTTATAATTATTATTCTTCTTCAACCAGTTGTTTAACGTAGTTTTCGAGACTCCATATTGTTTTGCGGCTGTTTAAATTTTAATTTTATTTTTTTTTTACCGCAAAAACTGTCTTCCTCAGTTGCTCCTTGTCGACAGGAGTCGTTTTGCGATAATACATGCATACCTTTTATGCAATTGAAAAAAACAATGACATTTGCAACGGAAAGTCATCCGGGTGAAGTCGTCGCTATGACTTGATGACATTACCCCAGTGACTTGGTGACGACTTCATCCCAGACACAGATTTCAAATTTAGTCGCTCATAAAATATTAGAAATAAACAAAAATAAAAAAACTGCACTGGATTTCTGTTCAGTAAACATTACTCTTTAAAATCATTTACCTACAGATTGGGAAAAAAATATTTAAAATATTGAAAATTTTTGATGCGCAAAAAATTTTACTTTTGACTACTGAAAATACGTTTATTGTAATCAAAATCACAACATGACATATATAACTTCACTAAATTCTGTTGGTCACGTGGACATCACATAAATAGTGTTTATAATATTAACAAGTTCACATAACATATAGATTTCGAGATAACTGTAATGACGACTTCGTCCCGGTCTCCCCTACATATTAAAAATTCGACGAATTAAAATTATCTACATAATAAAAATTTAGCGAATTAATATTATGTATTTAACGGAAAATCGGTGAATTAAATTTATATACATAATAGATATTCGGGAATTAAAATTATGTATATAACATAGTAGAAATTCAGAAGTCAATTAGAACATAATGGAAATTCTACATGCTTTACGTACATAATGAAAATTCGGTGAATTTATTTTATGTATATAATAGATCTCTGACAGCACAGAATATTTATATAAAATGTTTATAGAATATTTATAATAATTATTTTAATATTTTATAAATATTTATCACAAATATTTTAATAAAGATATGGATAAATTGACACTCGCCAGTATTCGAATAAAAATAAAATAATGAACTTCTTATCTCTTGACCAAACTGGCAAATATGTTTGATAATTACATTCACGACGTTTCGACCATTATTATTAGGTCCTTTTCAAGTAATAAGATGTAATTATACAATTTAAGGAGAAACTCCTTTTGTCGATTGATACACTTCAGACACATTCAACAGTTGCTTAATAATTGTCAAATGTGTCTGAAATGTATTAATTGACAAAAAGAGTTTTTCCATGAATTGTATAATTACATCTTATCACTTGAAAAGGACCTAATAGTAATGGTCGAAACGTCGTCATAATTATCAAACATATTTGCCGGTTTGGTTAAGAGATAAGGAGTTCATTATTTTCCAAATATTTTATAAACGTTTTTGAAATCTAGATTCAATAAATCATAAATATTTATCATAAATATTAGAGAAAATATATACGATAAATATTATGGTAAATATTATAAATATAATGATTTTTTAATCAAAACGATCGGTTGATATAGTCTAATCTAAAATTTGGTCGATTAGAGGTTTTTGTGTTTTTCAAACTCTATTAGACATTTATAAAAAGTTAAAAATGTGTAAAAAATATTTATAAGTAACTTATTAAACATTTATTTTAAAATAGAATATAAAATTATAATATACACTGAATATACTTAGGCAACAGAGTATATAGTTTAACAAATAAATTTATGTGCACATCGATATATTATATACGTAAATTTATTTGTTAAAGACATTCTGTTGCAGAATGTAGCTCAAAAATAGAAATAATTTTATTTTAATTTTTTAAATATTTTTAATTTTATTAATGTTGAAACATAAATCTGTACTCAAATAGAACCGCGCTAGTCAAGACTGCCATCTTCTGTACACATCGCCTATCGACCATCCGATCGTAGGTCGATGTATTTATCGACCAAATCGATAGATCGACCCCGGCGGTACTCTCTTCCGCCGGACACACTTCCGTCTAGTCACTCTTACTGTACGATCTTTTACATAATAAAACGTGTCTAAGCTCTACATAAATTCTACACTAGATTTCTCTCCTTGGAGCCATCCTTGCGCTACCCAAGTTCACATTCCAACAATTAATTTCCATTTTTGCCAGCCTATATAATTCTCACGAAAATCAAATACGAGAAAGATACGTCACATAGCGATAAATGAAAAAACTAACATATTAGTTAATAAAATATTTACAAAATAATTACTATAAATATTTATCTTTACATACTATAAATATTATATGAAATATTTAATCTGTTAAACTCTTAATTTATTTAATCTATGTTTTAATAATATGTTAAATAAAGATTTTTATAAAACATTTTCAAAATATTTATATAATATTTGAAAAAAATATATATTCATAAATATTTATGAATCTTTATCATAAATATTGTGTGCTGTCTGGAGAAATTCGGCGAATTATACATAATAGGAATTTGACGAATTAAAATTATGTTTGTAATATGAATTTGGCAAATTAAAATTATGTTCGTAATATTAATTCGGCGAATTAACATTATGTAATACATAATAGAAATTCGGGAATTCAAATTATGTCCCTTTTTAAAAAAGGCATTCTCGCAAGTATTGTTGCCGCTTTTCTGCGGTGCTGATTGTTTATCTCGATTCGCTTTGTTGTTAAATTGAAAGTATCAAGTTCTGTCATCGCGAAGATTAATAATTTGACAGTTATAAAATAAAAATAAAAACAATACCAATGGCGCGCGCGAAGTACACGCTTGTGCTGTCAAGTAACATAAAAAACGTAACATTTAAAACGTTTGTGCAACCTTTCATAAACATTAACGTGACAAATCATAAGCGGACATTTTCATGTATCTAAAACGTATATGAGATATTTTTTAGTCAATTTTGCGAAGATCTGTGAAAGATTTTGTGCAGTGTGGATATATAATTCTGTAAAAATCTTATCCGGAATGATGAAAGTAAAATAGTGTAGGTTAAACACAACATAAGCTTCTTACCTATCAGTGATGTTCTTGAGGATTCCCGCCATTTCTAGCGATCCGTAGACTCTATCAAAATCGTATAATGACGTTAATGTCGCCCGCATCTCCACGTACATCACATTATCTTCGTAGAAATCTTGTAGTGTGCGATAATAAATGTCTTCGAAGACAGGTCGATAGGACAGCCAGGAACCCATAAACGCAAAAATGCTATTAAACTTCTTCCACGCCTTATCAACGGTGCTGTAGTCGCTTCTTGGATTTTCCGTCATCATGGTCAACGACCGCCTGATTCTGTCATCAATCGCTGCAGCCTGTTGATCCTGTCGCAGCTCGCTCAGTAATTGCCACTCGCACGTCCCGTCGGGATTCTTGTTGAAGAACTTAAGTCGCAAACTATTATTTTGATCGCACGCGTATAGATTTTCGCGATAGCTCACATTGTTGAGCTTATAATCAAGCGAAACCATAGCGGACTGGTGAGCGTGGAGAACGGCGCCTTTGGGCATCTCACGTAGGATCTTAAATACTTCAGACTTCTCGACTTCCGGTATTACCTCCAGAAAGTTGCGCGATGGTAAAAAGCTATCGTTGCTAAACCCTGCGAAAAAACCTCTATTATAATATTATAATGTTTACTATAATTCAAACCAAACATTAGATATCTCATTAGATGACACACGATAAAATATATAGTATTATAGCAGTGTATCATCTTTTGTATCAATTTTCCCTCATTTTATATATTTTATATTTATTATATGACATATTTTCTTTTTTTTATTTAACATATAAAACATTTTTATTATTAAAGATATTTATTATTAATTAATTACATTATTTAAAATTAGGAAAATGTATAAATAGCATCAAACTTGAAATTATATCTGTCAAAGTTAAATAACTGTAATATTAAAATATTCCTAAGCATTCATTAATTATAAATATGAAAATAGAATTAAATATGTTTAACAAAATTATATTTTAAGAAGCACTTTAATCTTTGTTTATGTTTGATAATGTTACATGTATGTTTTAAGTATGTTTGAACACCGGATGTCGTTAAACGTACGTTTGATAGATTATGATTCCAAAAATTTCAAAAAGAAACAAATGTTTACTGATATCTTGTGCTATAATTAGTTCATAGTTTCGTGCACGTTTATTAATAACACGCTTTCGAATACGTTAATTTTAAAAAGATTACTCAGGAAACGACAAATGCTAAAAAGAATATATAATTTCAAAGATTTATAATTCACGATATAAGCTATATTATTACCTGCTTCTCGTTCAGCCTTATCACCTTACCATTTATGTTAATTTTATTTTGCTTATTTTTTATTACACTATTTTTCACGTCGATTTGTCGTTATTTTTGTGTACTTCGAGACATCAATCAGAACAATAAATAATACTATAACATAACAAGATATTAGAACACGGATGTCTAACTAGCTTCTCCAAAAGAATTTCACATTTTGATCATTATCTACCAGAACCAGTGTCGGTTTTAGAAACATTGGCGTTCTAGACAAAATTATCGTGGCGCCCATTCAGCCGATTCAAATTTTAGATATAGGTATAGCCGAATATTAAGGTACACCGTGCACTAGGCAGCGGCGCCCCTACAGATCTGGCGCCCTGGTCGATCGCCCGACTGCGTCCTACCCAAACGCCGGTACTGACCAGGACCTGACTATAGTTATTAAGTTATTTCCTTCTTTGCATTACTCTCATTTTACTGTAGTCTAAGGGACCTATTTTGTAACTTTTAATAATGTTGTTATGCATTACTGCGCAGATTTTTTGTAACATGTAATAGCTGTGCAATATGATACATAACATTACAGATTACAGAATAGGTCTCTAAACATATTTTGGAATCTGTTGGATGTCCGTGTACTATACTATGATACACTTAATAATACACTTCTCACAATAATTAAGAGATCAACAAAAATTGTCTAAAAAGACAGGTAAATTTTAAATAGCTATAACTTTGTTTTAAAAAATGAAAATTTTAATTTTAAAATAAAATTTTAAGCCAATAAGATAGAAGCGATTGTCAGTCACAATATAGAACCGAGGTAAAATAAACTCAATTGACCAACAATGGCTGCACTTAAAATTCTTTTATTAAAAAAAAGAAACAACGTTTTGATCTTCAGTTGGATCCTCTTCAGGCTACAATAATTAAAATTTTAAGAGGATGCCGGATGATGTTTTTACCGACCGAATGCGAGAATATTTAGTTTTTTTCATATAACTTTTTATTGACTATACTGATCAATAAATCCTTTTCCACGATTAAAGTACTTATAAAAACGGACTGCGCTAGCTATGTTTGCATATATAAATCATATAAAAATCAAAAATTACAGTTTTGTTATCGGCTGCTTTGTGTCAGTTCGTAATAATACTTATTTAATTAAAAATGTTCTGCAGTTTGTCTGTGCATAAAATATAGTATGCGCGGTAAGGATAATATGAAGAATTATTAGTAAACGATTAAAAGTGAGATTGCAAGTCTAATAAAAAAGTTATATATTAAAAACATTTTTACGCGTATGTGTTGTATACGTGCATATGTTTAGATATGTGTGGTGCTAACCTATCATGTGTATACCATATGTGTATACGTGCATATGTTTCAATATGTGTGGTGCTAACCCGTCGGAGTTCGGCCATAAAAAAAAGGTCATAGCTACTTTTCATATTCTTCAACTTTGGTATTTTTTACATACAAAAAACAACGAACTTAACGAAATGGAAATTTTCTTCTCACTTTATGGACGTGTGCATGCACAAGATTTGAAAAATTTTTTGAAAATTTTTTCGCGTTAAAGCCTGAAGTTTTCTCTGCAAAATCATTTTTTAAAATTAAAATTTCCATTTTTTTCTTATCGAGTTATCGAGAATTGAAGAGAAAATGGTAATTTTAATCATTCCTAGATAGCACATGATTGTTTCAGAAATATTTCCTAAACATATCTAAAGTTTGTTAATCGTTTAAGCATCAATAAAAAGCATCTCGACAAAAACGTCTTTCAAACTATAATTTAAGAAACGTTTCCTTCACATTTAAATTATACCTCCACAGCATGAAATATTGCTAAAATATTGGAAATAAAATAAATATTTCAATATTGAGCTACATTACAAATTGCAGCAATATTATGCAAATATTATAAGAATATATATATTTATTGGAGATTATAAGTTAATATATTTATTGGAGACGATGCAAAATATTAATGCTATATTATAATTCAATCACATAGTTCCTTCCTTTACCGCTTGCGCTGCTACGTATCTATCTTGCATTTAAGTTTTAGTGACGAGAATTATATAAAGTAAAAATGTAGCTTTTACAATCAATTATTTTAATCAATTTAATTTTTTTTATTCAATCCTAACAAAGAATTCAAATATTAAATTGCGGTTATTTAAAACTCGGACAAATAAATGTTTGAATAAATAAAGAAAATAAAAAAGAAGAAATATTTTGCAATATTTTATAAATGTTATGTTAACGTTGCTGAAAATATATCAGCGTTGCAAAAATTATTGCACAGTATGATTTAGAAGTGAATATATTTATATTATTGCAAGTTCACAAATAAAGAATAAAACGGTAAAAAATGATATTTATTGACCTTTTCTCTTAAACGTTTTTAAACTCGAAATTAAACATTTCTTTTAACTAAAAGTAAGATTTAACGAGCTAATTATTTCTTTTAGCATTACTCGAATGGACATTTTAACTAATAAAAACCGTTTTCGAGAATCGGTTATGAAACATTTCGAAGAAACTATTGTAAAACGTTTCTGAAACGATGATGTGCTACCTAAGAACATTAATTTTTTTTTACAAAAAAATCTCAAACATCTCTAAAAAGCTATTTTTCACACATTAAACGTCAAGTATTTTGGAAATCTAACGTACTAGTATTTAATTTGTAGCATTCAAAAATTTATAAGAAACATTTTGTCTCATTTAAATAAAATAATTTTTGGCTGTAAACTAATATAATACTTTCGGATTTTCTTATTACAAAATTTAGTTCTTAAACAATGCTCAAAAATTCATCCTACAAAAAACAAAAGAAAAAAATGCACCACAAAGAAAGATTGATCAATAATCTTAAAAACTATGATTTCTTTTCTTTTTTAAAATAATAATAGAGTGCTTCTTCGCGTTTGCCTCCGAGTTTGCGCAAACTAATTTATTATTATAAGAGTGAAAAGCTCGAACCATTGTTGATCTCTCGATCTTTAAATGACATCAGGACTTTATTCGCCATGATTTCCATGGAATTGAGTTTCAGCTTGCCGCCTAGGGACGATTGTTTCTCACTCGTTATTAGTTGCTGTCGTAGTTGCCAATAGGCATGTTGTCGCTTAAACTCTCGCTGTTTATGCACGAGGTGCGCGTTGATCACGTTTCCACTGCAGATCAGGATCGTCAAGGTGAACAAGCTCGACCAGACCATGGTTGAACGGTGGAAAACTATACTTTACTAACTAGACGCGAATTATTATATCGTCGCGTCGTTCAGTTTCGCCTCAAAAATATTTACTTTGTGTCAAAACACTTATTTGCACTTGAGCCTATGTAGAGTGTGAACGTTGCGGCTGTCCGATCTCCACTGAATAACTCTTACCACCGAGACTACCATTATAAGGGCATAAGGAATAGTGTATAATGAGGACCGGTAACTCATTAGTAGAGTCGCTTGCTGACTACTTGTAACGTCAACGATTAATGATACGCGTGTATTTCTCGCGCTTGTGTAAAGCAAACATTGTGACAGATACCCACATATTGCGATAGCAAATATGCGTGTAAATTTACTTAAGATCGTAATTAAATAAAATATTCCGTTTTGCTAATTTTTCGTATGAACAATATTGCGTACGATACAATAAATAATAAAAAAGTATAATTATATTTATATAGTTAAAGAAGGAAGACTGCATCTATTTTTCATTGCAGATTTAATCGATATTTTTTTTCGGCTAATTTAAACTTAAGAAAATATAAAATATTTTACATTCTCTAAGTCAATCGAACAGTCTGTGTAAAGATCAAAGAATTACGAAAAAAACAAAGATCTTACACAAATGTTTTTGCGATTTAAGCAGTTAATATTTCACGTTAGCCAGACTGAAAAATTAAATAAATATAATTATAAATTATTATCGATCTTCTTTTTCTTATCAAACTCTTTACTTATCGAACATTTAATTATAAATTACACCTGATTGTGCAAATATAAATGATATGTTTACATAAAACGTTTGCACCTACGAAATTTTTTTAAAATAAATTCTGAACAAATGTATTACTATCACTGAAATAGGTTACAGGAAAGCTGTTGTTTTATACTTAGTTTATTTCACATTTTTATAGTTCAATAAACTTTTATAGACTGATAAAATAGAGAAAAAGAGTCATTAATTATTATCATTCAATATTATCGCTTAACACAGATATAAACATAGATTAACAGATATTAACAGATATATTATATTATACTCAATACAGATATAAACATATGATAAGATAAAAATACTAGAAATATGGATTAAAATGATTAATATAAAATAAAATATAAATTTTTAAGTAAATTGTTACAACGCATAACATGCGTAAAATAAAAATGTGTAAAAGCAAATATTTTTAATGTAGAATAAATCATATGCTATAACAAATTTTTCACCTAATTAGTCATCAAATTAAGTTAATTAAAATTGATTTATTGCATTTTAATTCTCTTTTAATCGTTTTATATATATACTCTTATTATATCTTATCTTAAGAATGCATTTTTTTTCTAATATGCATATATGTTAAATATGCTTGCAAGTGATCTTTTACTAATAATTTAAAAAATTAATCGTCTTTATCACTTGTTTCTTTTTATATTTTCGTTATCGATAATTCCATACCAGATATAATAGAAGAACTTTTAATATATTGAAAATAAATTATATTGAAATACTAATTAAATATATACGTAATTAATACTAAAATAATGATAAAAAAAGTAATTCTTATTTTTTTTAATATTATGAATTATACTCGTCAATGACCTGTTTTGAAATTCAATTTCTTATTATATATTCTTAAATGTTTTGTCAATTTAATTTTTTTGTTTTATATTTGTCAATTTAAAAACCTATGGATTACATACATAATTAAAGCAAATCTAGTTGCGATTAAAAAATCATAAGGAATAAATACATCCGAATAAATGGATGAAAAGTAAATAATAATAAAAAAATCGCCATGCTATATATGTGATACATATATATTGAATCGCTATACACAAGTCTACATTTTTATACGTAACCTAATGAAATTTATCTTTGCCTAACATCTCGAACGGGAAACTTCCGAATCATGTACAAAAGTCGTCACATTTTAATTATTCTCATCCTTTGTTTTTTTTAATTATTCTCCTTTGTTTTTAACATCGCTTACAATTTACATTATTTACAAAGTGATTTAAGGAGACATTCTTGTGTGAAAATTTGATGGTCTCAGATCAAAATCTATCTTTCTCAATGCAATATTTAAAGATGTTATAATGTTTATTCTTAGATACGTAAGAATAACAAACATTATTTTTTATAATGATTCTCCTCCAAATATGTTGTTAAATACATTAATCTATAAAAAACACGTATTTTTATATGTGCGGATTTTGAATTTTAAAGGGTGAAATACCTTTGAAAAAAAACGGTATTTTTCTTTAGGATCGAATATATGCTAAATTATAAGAGATAGAAAAAATTGTTAAACAAAAGTTTAAGTCGTTTGAAGAGTACTAAAATTATATGAACGAAATTTTTTATTTTTACTTTTCTTTAAACCCCACTACTCAATTTTTTTCAAAATTAAAATTTTTTTTCCAAATTCAACCATGTATGATAAAGCTTATGTTGCGAAATATTATTTTCGAGAATTATGAACGCTTCCGTATATACGCTTATCAGTGCTATGTGCGTAAGTGATTACCGTCGAAACAATAAGATATATAAAAATGTTTATGTAAAATTTTGATCTATGTTTTCTATAATAATTAATAACTTATAATATTTTAAGTTTGTGTTATAAATAATAAATTAATTAAAAATAAGAAAAGGCTTATACAAGTAACATTTTATTAAAACATTTATTTAAAAAATTGTAAAATAGTAAAAACGGTCATATAAAATGTGATATTATTACATTGGTTAACAAATTGAAAAGCGATGCATTAATTATAAAAGGCGGAAAATTATTTTACAATTAAATCTTTGCGAAAATATATATATATCGCAATACTTGGCATAAACAAATTTTATCTTACGTTAAAATAAATCATAAGATAAGATTATATGTACCTGTTCCAGATAAGTTATAATAAAATTATTACTTATAATAAAATTATTTTACAATTTAATCTTTACGAAAAATATATGTCGCAATACTTGGTATAAACAAATTTTATCTTACGTTAAAATAAATCATAAGATAAGATTATGTGTATACGTGTTCCAGATAAATTAACAATATAAATTGTTTCATGTAGCAGCATAATCCTCACAGTTAATGTAATCTTTTCGTTGTAATCATATCTGTGTAAACTGTTATTTTGCAATAGAAAGCAAAACGTCTTTGAAATAATTATCAATCCGCTTAACGTTGTAGACTTTTATTAGTGTCGATAAATTTAATATATCTAACAGAAACGCCAGAAACTGAAGCAGAAGTGGAATTAAAGGAAAACATACAAAAATTATTGTTGGTTAGCGTTTTTTTTATTTTAATGGGTTTCTGTTAAATTTTATGCTGTGTGGGTAGTTAGTCATTACAACATCCAAGTGTAAATAATTCAAATACGCTCATAAAATGCAAATTGTTCCTGTAAAAAATACCATTAAAAGAAATGTATTAAAAAAATATTTAACTCTTCCTCTCTGTTATTTTTATCATTTTGGTAAAAATTGAAACTAAAACTAATTATTATTCTTGACGTTCTTCATCAATTTAAGGCTTGTAAACATATATTTTATTTACGTAAAATATTTGTTTGTTCCACATTAATACAAAATCTGATAAATTACAAAAATTTTCAATAAAGAATATAGTATTCTATGTTCTATCTATGTTATCCGATTCAATTGTCTGCAAAATGCGTAGTACCCAGTAAGCAAGAAATATTAAATCAACATTTTAAAATGTTGATTTTATGTAAATGTTCTAAACGTTATGATATAATGTTTTATAAATATGTTTAAAATATTTTAATAAACGTATGAATTAATCGTGTTTTATATTAAAGAGCCAATCTAATTAATATTCTTAATATTCTTATTATTGTATGAATAAATATTTAAAAATAGTTTAACTGATATGTTTTATATATGTTTTAAAAATATGATATTTAATAACATATTGCTCTCAAAATATTAATAAAATATTTTAACATCGTTAATAAAAACTTAGAAAATACTATTTTAACATTACCGAAACCTCTAAATCGATGTCAAAGTTTGTTCATAATGATGTGCATACAATGTTAAAAACTATACATACTTGAATTTTATTGAACATTATTATGTTAATGAAAATCATTATCATAACGTTGTAACAATAATTTCTTGCTAAAAGTAAAGGCAAATAGTTTCAACATAAGCTAAATAATATTCAAGTAATGAAACATCACGTATATTATGTGTACATTGTCCCTGAATTAACGCTGAATAGCGTTATCATAACGTTGTAACAATAATTTCTTGCTAAAAGTAAAGGCAAATAGTTTCAACATAAGCTAAATAATATTCAAGTAATGAAACATCACGTATATTATGTGTACATTGTCCCTGAATTAACGCTGAATAGCGGTTTTAAAAAAAGATATGAGCACATATTTTCGAACAGCAATAAACGTGCCAATTACTTATTGTTTGGAAAGAAAATAGCTTTTAACAATATTTGGAAATATATAAGTATGTAAGCATATTTTCTTTATTTGTTCTATGCTATAATTGCGCATATATTTGAATCAATGACAATGAACGTACTAACAATAAGTTACTACATCACTCTGATAATCACGATACATCACTCTGATAATCTGATAAGAAGATCGCATTTGATCCCATACATAAATTGAATGATAATGGAATAAGAAATTTTCTTTTAAATTTTGCAATACATATTTTGTTACTAATAAGCTTAATAAATAAGAACAATAAATTTAATAAATATTTGCGTGCGTACGTGTGTGTCATATAAATATATAGTCATATTTAGTTCCATAATTGAAATTGCAATCAGAATCATATTATTTACAATCTATTTAACAAAAGTGTTCTTTTTCTTTTATCATTAAATGTTATATTAAAATATTAATTATAAAATATACGTGCCACTTTTATTCTTTATTCCTTTGGAATTAGTCAAAATAAGGCAAGGAATTGTTCCATTCCATAACATGTTAATGTAATTATGTTATTAAATTACATCTATCAGTCTCGTAAAGATATAACTATGATATTATATGATACATAAAATCATCTAAATTTCCAATGTATTGATAAATATAAATACCCTTCTCTATTTATTTTGTAAAATTTTCTACAGAATTTATATCTTATTAGACTAATTTTGACAAGGGATATGTCACTATCGGAATCGATTTGATTCTCTTTCAAATATGTTGTTAAACATAAAAAATATAAAAAAACACATTTTTTAAATATTATGTGCGTGTATTAATACTCCTTTGAAAAAAATAGTGTCTTCTTTTAGAGTCAAATATTATCGAAACTAAAAATGTTAAACGAAAGTAATCGCTTGAGTACTTTATAGTTATAAGAAAAAAACTTTTCTTTTTTTTCAAAAAATCTACCATTCAAGTTTTTTAAAATCTTATAATATATGGTTGAATTTGGAAAAAAGTAAACATTTAATTCGGCGAAAAAATCTTTATAAATAAAAATAAAACATTAAAATCTGTAAAATCGAACGAATTCATATTATATATCGCTAGTAAGAAATTAAATATGAACAGTTAATTTATTGACCAAAACTGGCTTATTTTATTAACGTGAAAAAATTACAACGTTTCGATCACTGCTTGTGATCCTTTTCAAGTAAACTGAAAAATACATTATTAAATTAATTGGTCAATAAATTAACTGTTCATATTAAAATCTGTATTTTCATAATCTTAAATTAATTGCCTAAAATATTTTATTTATAGTATTAATATATATATATTTATAGAAAAAATATTTTGAATAAAAGTTACATGAGAGATTTCGAAGGAAATTTTCTGTGATAACTTTGTCTTTGTGTTCAAGATAAAATTCCGAGAATTTCTTGAGATTTAAGACTTTGTCTTTTTTCAATGAAAAATATATAAATATAAATCTAAATCATAAGGAAGGAGTAAAGAGCCATACGCGGATGTTTTCTACGTACATTTACAACGAAACTAAATTTTCGTTGGAAACAAAGCGTGCGCAAGGCACGTATTATTCTCGGTGTACCAACCAAGACTTTAAAAATTGAAATAATCTCTTACTTGAGATTTAATTTCAAAAATATATATTTTCTGATAATTCGATAAGTCGATTTTTCTTGTTATTCTATATTAAAAAGTTAATTTATGGTTTTGACACTATTAAGATAGGACTCATTTAAAAAATCACTAATGTATGAAATATTTTATAATTTATTTCGTTATTATATCCATGACATAAAATATAATATTTTATACAGTATTTATTTTCCAATGATTCTATTTTAATACTTTTGTATAGTAAATAATTTATAATTAAAATTTAAAAAAATAATTATATTTAAATAAAAAAAGATGCATATAAAAATACAGGATGTCAAATATTTACATCAACTTTCAATGGTTTTAGTTCTGTTAGGAAGTATTTTCGAACATATGTTTAGACAATTTCATTTCGAAATGATTTCAATAACACCTCCTTAATGTATAGACATCAAGTCATGGTACACTTTCTCTATAGATGCAATACTGTACAAAGATAGATCAATTAATTCTATATTCATCATATTACCAACTAATTCTATATTTATTTCTTGAAAAAATTAATGAATATTTCAGTGAAAAAATTAATATAATTTTCGAAATATTTCATAACACAATAAGTGTAAAAAGAAATTATGATAAATACTTTGTAAATTATAATTTTTTAGAAATTCTATTTTTTAAATATAATTAATTATATAATCTTTTATGTATAAAGTGATTAAGAAAATAAATACCTATATATCTAAATAAAACATTTGATTTTATTTAAAAAATCACAAGTGGCCTTGAAGTCTCGAAAATACATTTATTTAGAACAGAATCATGCATTCACCATAAAATATTCACTTCAAAATCAACTAATCTATATAATTTTTTTATCTGTTGAAATATTTTTTTTCTAAAATACGTAAGATTTAATATTGACAGTTTCCAATATAATTTACTGTATATTTGTACAATTATCGATTTAATATAAAAAAAACAAAGGAAAATGCTCGTAATAAAAAAAAAATTGGTCATATTAAGAGGAAACTAAATTAAAAGAAAAAAAAATAAAACAATGAACATTGAATATATATCATATCTTTAAAGAGAACGCATTATATCTAATGATTCATGCTACAAAGTATATTAACATAAAGCAGTCGTAAAGTATTCGTAAATTTCATTCATGTATATTTCGTCTTATTGTCTTTCGTTTTTTTTTTTTTTTTTTTTTTTTTTTTTTTACGTAAATTGTACAAATATGATTCACAAATGTAGTATAATAATCAATACATTATAATTTGATATCTTGACGCATTTACAGCAATTACTTTCACACGATTAGAAAGCGAATCCGCTTGAATGTTTGATTCTGGATATAAATGCTTGCATTATTTATGATATTGTGGACCGAAACTTGTCGATTATAAATCAACAAAAGTCTAAGTACTTATTCCCAAATTTCGCATAATTACAATACGATTGCGTGTGAACTATACGTCTCTTGTATTATACATATAAATAATTTAAGTAAAAACAGTCGACTTTATCGCGTGGTTAAATAAGATTGTAAATACAGCCATTATCAATGTATAGTACCGTTTGAGAAACCATTACTCTTCCAGTAGGCAATAAATATCAGTTATAATCACGCGATCAGATATAAATGTATTTTAGCAATTTAGCATTCTCGATTGATCAAAATATATTATTTAACATAAAAAATTATTGCACAAATTGCAACATATTAACTTTATCGATATGAACTCATATTGATGGTTTAAGAAATATTTCTCGGCGTCAAATGTACGATATGTATATGTACGTACAATCTGATGTAGCACATATTTTAATCTATTATATTCCACATATAGAATTAAAATTTATTACATTTTATGAACAAATAAAATACTTTAAATGTAGTCCAGATAGCAAGCGTATGTTATTTTGACGTTGAATAACGCCATTTTGACATTTAATGACGTCAATTTGCTACTTAGGATTATATGAAATATAATGGATTCAACATTGTATATTCATCAATGTGCTCCATAGTAATAAGAATGTAATCAAATTAAAAAGCTGCAAATTAAAGTATATTACATACATTTAATACACAATATAATATTATATAATATATACTATCTCTGTATTAATATATTACTCATGGCTTATTTTATATTTATATACTACTTTTTAATCAATTTACAAACATTTAGTTTATGTACAACTTTGCAAAATTACTGTCTGTATTAATCCACTGGTAATAAAGTTAGATTTGTCCGTTTAAAGCTTCTGAATCCTCGCCGCGACTATGTTAGATTGTGACGTCAGAGGCGAAAAAGCACACGCTGAAAATTTTTAGATGCCATTTTTAAATAAAAAATATATCGATGAAACACTATTTTATATGGCTTCAGTACACTTTTAAAATACCTTGAAAACTATTATTCTCCCTTGACAATCAACCAAAAATCATTAAACAATCGTGTAACACTGACAATCAATAAATAATCGTGATATCAAACTTTGTCATGTGAAATGACTGCACATGTGCAAAGACCAGACAGACTGGACCTAATATTACAGTCATTTTTTAGCTATTGATTGATTATAAAGAGGATAATTTTCGAGATATTTTAAGAGTGTGCTTAAACTATCTGAAGTGCTGTTTAACCGAAATAGCTTTACATTTCGAAATGGCATCTAAGAGCGTGTCTTCTCACCTTTAACGTCACAATTCCAACATGGTCGACAAGAAACCAGGAGCCTTAATTTAATTTAATTTAAATTTGCTATATATATAAATCTAGCTTAAAAAAGTATTATTTACAAAGTTTGGTATACACAATACATCGAATACATTTACCAAATTTTATACTTACATCATTAAATTTATGATTTAATAGATTTTCTTATAAATCTAACGTTATCACTCAATTCTGGATTAATAAACAATATACATAGTTTGTCGCACATATGCAACATATGGCGAATCTCATATCGATAAAGCTAATAACTTTAGAATATAATTAGAATATACGGATATAAATATATTTATAAGTCGATATCCTATATTATTACATATATTGTACATAAATACAAATTCTTCTCGGTGAAAAGTACGCAAGCTACTCTGTATTGCATTAAACTGACAGTGCGCGTCATAATTAATCGCTTATACAGTGAGCAACTCTAACAACAAGTTAACGACCATTAAAGGTCTTGTCATCAAACCATCTTTCCTATAGAAGATCCCTGAGAAAGAAGCGTTAGTATTTAGTAAAATATACAAAATTTATTTATTTCTTTTTTCTTTTTAAAAAAATTAAGCCGTTTAATTTTGATTGTACTAAAAATTGTACAATAACAAAAATTCTATTAACTATAATTGTATATATATAAAGTCACGCGATATTTGAAATTTGGCTGGAATTCTGAAACTGCAATTTCACAAATATCAGTGAGCAAACGTTTGTGTTATTTCATATTCACATCTATCAATTATTTCCCTGTATTGCCTGTGTAAAAAGATGCAATTTGTCTATTTCATTTCATGAAATGACTTAAATAGATACGAAATATTTTTACTAATTTGTCATTTCTATTCTCGACGCATTCTTTTCGCATAGATTTCGAATGCAAGTCAAGTGCAGTGCGTTGACAAATCTCACAACAAGATGACAATTAGTATGTGACGTATAATAATACAAATATGTTAATCAAACTCAATTAAATTATTAAGAAGTTTTAAGTGCCTTATCCGCGTGCGCTAGAGTCAAAGATCCAACAAGAGATACCAGGGTTCGATCTAGCCATGTTATAGGATTTGGATATAGAAAACCACCTTCGTAAAAACCTAAATGACCTCCGTGAGCCAATTCCACGTATAATGTATTTAAATGATTTGCTAAAATTAAAAAATACGCTTTAGAGTACATTCTTATTTATTATACTCTCTTTATATATATATATATATATATATATATATATATATATATATGCAAATAACTTATATACCTACCTGCATGTTCTTTAATTGGATTTAATAATACTTCTGGTACTATAGGATCGTCTATCGCGTTGATGAATACCATCGGTGTTGTAATATTATCCAGATAAAAGATACAACTACTCCATTTATATAACTCTTGCACAGATCTGAAATTGTGTACCTAAACAACAAAACAATTTATAAAAATTAAAGTCATTGTTTAAAAATATCTGATAAAGCAATATTTCTTAACCTTTTTCACGATGCGCAACCCTTCTCAAATTATTTTAATGTGGTCCTTCTTAAGGGGATCCTAAACTGTCCTGTTTTATCGATAAAACGATTTTTTGCACGCTTTTCTTTTTATTGGTTGAAAAGAATAATAAATCCTTTTTTATGATTAAAGTATATAAAAAAACAAAGTCAAAAACCTATCGGTTTCATGTTAAAAACAAAAAACTTAAAAAATTAAAATTTTTCTGCTTTTAACATAAACAATGACACCATAACTACACACAAGTTTATACATTTGTGTTTTCTCTGTCATTTCTTCGAACTTTCACGGACCTCCAGGGATTTGTGGACTATAAATTAAGAACCACTGTGTGATAATGTGTATTTGAAAGAAATCTTACTCTTCTTGTATATGCTTCATCCAATTCGGGTAATGTCGCTGCGGAAATTATGTCACGCTCGTTCAAATTACACCTCTGTTTTACATCTTCGCACAAAAGCATGTTTTTATGCTTGAGTATAAGATTCTTCATCGATTCTGTCATTACATAGAGATAGAAACGTCTAAAGTTTTGCCAGTTTAACAGAATTTTCGTTCCTCTGAAACAGAATAATAAATAATTTAATAAATCAATAAAAACGCATACATTAAACTAATAAATTTATTCTTCTTGATTCACATTTGAATTGTTAATAAAAAAAGTTTGTTTATTTACTCGAGAGCGTTGTATCCTTGGCAAATTGATATTCCTCCTATAATGTTAGGCAATTTGTTGGAACCTCGTTCTCCGAGATATTTTGTCACTAAATTACCGCCTAAGCTGTAGCCGATACAAACTATTTTGGTGTTTGGATGTTTTTCTATCAGATTTTGTAACATTGTGTTATAATCGTCCGTGTGACCTGTTCATAAAAATGCACATTATTATAAGATTTATGTAAAATTGAATTGAAGAAACAAATTGAATATAAAATTATACAATACAGTATAAAAAATGACATTTACTCAATAATCAATATACATATTTGAACAGAGAAAATAATATTTCAATAATCTTCTACACCAAATTCGAGTAAGCAATTATGCATTTATTAACAATTGTTTTGCACAATTATGACGTAAACTCTAAGGGGGATGCCCGATGATGTTTTTACCGACCGAATGCGAGAATATTTAGTTTTTTTATATAACTTTTTATTGACTATACTGATCAATAAATCCTTTTCCACGATTAAAGTACTTATAAAAACGGACTGCGCTAGCTATGTTTGCATATATAAATCATATAAAAATCAAAAATTACAGTTTTGTTATCGGCTGCTTTGTGTCAGTTCGTAATAATACTTATTTAATTAAAAATATTCTGCAGTTTGTCTGTGCATGAAATATAGTATGCGCGGTAAGGATAATATGAAGAATTATTAGTAAACAATTAAAAGTGAGATTGCAAGTCTAATAAAAAAGTTATATATTAAAAACATTTTTACGCGTATGTGTTGTATACGTGCATATGTTTAGATATGTGTGGTGCTAACCTATCATGTGTATATGTGTATACGTGCATATGTTTAGATATGTGTGGTGCTAACCCGTCGGAGTTCGGCCAACGCTCCGGCATCCCCTTAAATATAATATAATTTCTTTGTCATTGTTATTGAAAAACTAATATTAGTGTGGCTGTAAAAAAAATATATGGGTCATTCCACGTCAAATCGAACACCCCCCCCCCCTCAAATTGTATTGAAGTAAATTTAATTTCCAAGGTACCAAAATTTAGTTTGAAACATCTAATTTTTTATGCCGTCTGGCGATTTTGAAAAATATCAAATAATGACCTTGGTTTTGTCATTTAAACAAAAATGGTACCTATTTTCGTGTTCAAATCTTTACTATTTTATTACAAAGGAAGTACAAAAGTCATTTTTAATGTATTTTGATTCGCTGAATCCAAATCTGAAGTCAGAAAAACAAAATTTATATTTTTGCATATAAATAATTAGTTTTTATTGATATTTACTTATAAAATATAAAAATAATGTTATTATTTTTAAGAATACTTTTGTCTCTTTTTAATATAATATTTCTGTGCTAGAACATTAATTAATTATTGCATTCTGTTCAATAGCACATTTGTCAATATCAATAATATTTTTAATAATTTATTATAAAAATCTTTCTGCGTTTATACAGGGTTAATATTGTTTATATATTATTTTCCAAAGCCCGCATTGTACTTTTTCTTTTCTGTAATTTTTAGATTTAAATTTTGAAAATTTAACTATGCATTTCCTTTACAATTGGTTTGCCTAATTATTTTATGCGTAAAAGGTATTAAAATAAGATTATCGAAAACTAAATATTTTACAAGACAATTTGTATTTTAAGACCAAAAATACTGCAAACTTCAAGCATTATAAGCATTATTCGAAAACACTGAATGCAAAAATATTGTATTATAGTTTCTTGAAAAACTTTGAAGATAAATTATAAGAATGTGCAATCAAAAATAGAAATTAGCATTAAAAATTTCAAAATAAATTGTACATTTTCATCAAAAAATGGTACACAAGAATTTTTAGCGTATGCTTTCTCGTCTTTGATGTCAACAACTAATATGATCGACAAGGGTCTAGGAGCTTTAACAATGCTATTTTTATATAATCATACTAACATTACTGATCCACTGATTTAATGATCCACTTAAAGTCGTATTTTTTATTTAAAATATTTTTTTCAAAAAGTTTTTGTTTTCAAGATATTTGACTGTTACAGAACATTTGAAACACAATGGTATGAGGTATTCCCACGCCTACTCATGAGGTCCGACCTCGACTTTTTTATTTTGATAGCAGGTCATTTTTTAGCAGGTCTTTGCAAGTACTACATATAAGAGCGTTTCTATAATAAATGTATCGTTTCCGAAATAGAGCCTGCGCAAAATGAGGATTACAACATTTTCAATGAGTTTTTTCGCCTATTAGACAACATCTAATAAAGAAATTCATTAAACATAAAATACCATTTTTCGATCGTATTTAAAAAAAAATTACTAATAATTTTTATAATAATATTTTTAACAAATGTAATACAAAAAAAATTTGAATATCTCGAAAACTCATTTTCTATTTTTTTCTTTTTTCTTAAATTTATAGGTAATATTCTGGGGAATATTAGAAAAATTCGAAGACCAGTCTGAAGTTGTGCAGAAAATTAAAAATTTCTTATAGATTTTTTTGTGAGACAGTATTCACAAAAGTACAGTTAAAAACATGTTCCAGACAATTCTGAATCGATTATTATATACTTTTTTCCTTTAATTGACATTACTCATTGACAAATAAAGTAAGTGAAAAGTGAACTGTGCCTTTTTCTTTCTCTCTCTACACACGCCGGTAAAATTTTGTTACTGAATCATGATAAAAATCATGATGATCTGTCATAGCATATGACAATTACGATGACAGTATAGGAAGGACAAAGAAAATAATTTGTGAAGAGATTTAATTTAATAAGTATATTTATTTAAAAACAGATTATTTATTATTTTATGTTCAGTATTTATCCGAAAATAACTCATCTTTAACAAGTCACTAAAACTTTAAATTAATATGATGACAAGTGATTCATGCTTTTTCATCACGCAAATGATTAATTTGCGCCGGAATTTTTTCGGTTGTAGCGATTCATTGATGCGGTTGAAAAAACGATTCTTGTAGAAAACAGTCGTATTACGGTGAAATTCTCATTGTTTGAAAAAACAATTAGCAAATAATTTATTAAACTCACAATCAGTGTTCCACGTTATCCGTAAAACATTGTCATGCATAATTGTTCACTTTTTTCAGAATATAAGAATTGTAATATTCATTAAACTTCCGATGGAGCAACGCTTGTTGAACAATCCGTTCTATATTGCTCTAATCAATTTATTATCTTCTGTCATCATTAATTTAAAGTTTCGGTGGCTTGTTAAAGATGACTCATTTTCTAATAATTATATACTAAACATAAAATAATAAATAATCTATTTTTAAATAAATGTGCTTATTAAATTAAATTTTCTCACAAATCTATTTTTTTCGCCTTTTCTATACTGTTAATCGCGATTGTATGCTATGCCAGAATCTTTATTATGATTTGGTAAAAAAATGTGACCGACGTGTGCGGAAGGCACAATTTACTCATTTTATTTGTCAATGAGTAATGTCAATCAAAGGAAAAAAGTATAATTAATTCAGAATTGTCTGGAATGCGTTTTTAACTACACTTTTGTGAATACTGCCTCACAAAAAATCTCTAAAAAATTTCCAAATTTTCTGCGCAACTTCGAACCGGTCTTCAAATTTTTCTAATATTCCCCAGAATTTTATTTTATAATCTGTAAATTTCAAAAAATAAAAAATGGAGTTTTCGAGATATTGTAAGGGCTCCCATAAAGAAAGACAGGAATCTAAATCGTATAGATACGTGATTGGGAAGAAAAGGGGGGTGATAACCCGCGAATTAGGTTGAGAGCTCCCGAGCGAGGGAAGGGGGAGAGAGAAACCGAGTGTCTAAGTAACGAGACTTGAAAAAGGGAGTCAGTCGTTTTTCGTGACGAGGATCAGCCAAGTCGGGCCCCTCTCAAGAAAGCGAGGAAGCCTTTGGTACGGGTCAAGCCGGGCCCTCCGAAGTGCGCGACCTGAAAATCCTAAACGCTGTTTTTGGAGCTAAGGCGTTGTAGCTAAATAAAGAAAAAGAAATATATCATTGGACATCTACAAGGACGGTGAATTTAATCACACTGTCTTCCTACCCGAGCACTTCCTTACAGTAAATTAAATTCAGAAGTGGGATATCGAAGACCTGGGCGCAATGCCGACTCGAGCCCGAGAAGCAGCTCATTTCAAGAGCCTGCGAACACGGTTAGAAGGACTAAAGGAAGAAGAGCTCCGCGAGGAAGCGACCACCCTAGGACTTAGCACCGAAGGGTCGTATCAAAGGGTGATGGACCGAGTCCTGGACCACTACGCAAGTAATCCGGATTTGATAGACCTAGGGGTGTCGGAAGGCGAGACGACGCCTGTTCTATCAGGAGCAATGCCAGGTCCGTCGGTAGTGATGCCGGCGCCATCGGGGACGAAACCTGGAGGAAGCAAGGCAAGGGTGCAGCCAGCCAGCGGCGGAGAAATGGCGCAGATGATGATGTGCCTACAACAACAAATGCAGGCGCAAAGTCGGCTAATGGAGCAGCTAGCAACTTTAGTGGAGAGATCGCAAGAGAGGCTCTTGGTCAGCCCGCCTGAGGGAAGATCGCCCGTCGGGAGGGAGGACCGAGGACGATCCGACTCGCCGAGTTCAGCACACAGCAGACTAAACGAAGGTAACATAATTAAAATGATATCTCCTCAGATACCAAAATTCGAAGGTTCGGAGAGAGACAATGTGAAAAAATGGCTGGAAAGAGTAAACTATATCGGGAGCTTATACGAGATAAACGAAAACACCTTACTATTAGCAGCTACTAGTCGTCTCGCAGGCAATGCCTTAGATTGGTATAACAGGCAACCGACAACAGTAATCTCATCCTGGGCGGAGGTGAAGAAAGGCCTACTTGAATATTTTGAACGGAAGGTCTCTTTTACCTTAGCCATGTCCAAGATTAACGAGAGAGTTTGGCTGCATTCTAAGGAGAAGTTTATCGATTATGTTAATGAAAAACTAAACCTGATGCAATTTTTAGATTTATCAGAGAGAGATCAAATCGATCTCTTAGTAACCGGTATAAAATTGCCCATGATACAAGTGGCTGCAGTGGACACCCGTTTAGAGAAATTGTCGGACTTTATCGAGCATATGCGTAGAGTAACGGAAGCCACAGTTACCATTCACGAGGCTGGGCACAAATCGCAGACAGCAAAGGCGACGGCCGCCGGCCCGTTGAAGGCAGCGAGTTCATCGAAGGATGTCGTGTGCCGTAATTGTCAACGGAAAGGACACTTCGCCAAGGACTGCCGATCGAAGCGGGTAACCTGCTATAATTGCCAGCAGCCAGGACACACCCGGCCTCAATGCCCGTTAAAAACAGCGGAGAAATCGAGCGCAGCGGCCAGAACGCCTGAGGAACAAGATAGTATTGCGACTATTGTAAGCGAAATATTGCCTAGCGTGCCGTACATTCAATTATCTAGCATAAATGATAAAAAATATTCATATAACGCTTTAGTAGACTCAGGTAGCCCAATTAGCCTCGCGAAAAAGTCGGTTTATGATCACCTCTTGAGCGACAAAAATTAGAGCCGTTAGCGAAAAATCAAAATTTTATGGGCATTAGTAATACTCCGGTGGAAATACTCGGCACTGTCGACTGCGTCGTAAGAATTGACGACCTGAATCGCGACTTAAAGGCTCGATTACATATAGTATCCGATGAAACAATTAAGCATTCGGTGTTATTAGGTCGAGAATTCTTTATAAATGAAAACTTGGTAGTCACACATAGGCCGGAAAGTAGGAGGTGCGAGATCAAAGAAAACCAGGCGCGCGAAATAAACGAGATCCTATGCGTGGACGTGATCGAAACTAAAGACCGAGACGATTTAATTCTCGAAAATTTAGATAGTGACATAGACTCAGAAACGAAGGAGAAATTAATAAAAACATTTACCGAGGTAGATAAAATGCATATTGAGCCAGTGAGAGATAATTACAATGTACGTGTCAATATAAGAGATGAATCTGTATATGCGTATGCCCCGCGCCGTATGTCTTATAACGAAAAATTAAAAATAAGGGAAATTACAGATGATTTATTGAAACGTGGAATAATCGTGCCAAGTAGCTCGCCGTATTGTGCGAAGGTCGTGCCGGTTACCAAAAGAAACGGTGAAACGCGTATGTGTATAGACCTTCGTCCTCTAAATCAGCGAATAAATAAACAGAAATTTCCTTTCCCTATTATCGAGGATCAGATAAATGGTCTACAAGGAAAGAAAGTATTTACCGTTCTCGACATGAAAGACGGATTCCATCAAATCGCTGTTCACCCTGACGACACAAAATATTTTTCTTTCGCGACGCCGGACGGACAATACGAGTATGTCAGATTACCATTTGGATTCGCGGATAGCCCAGCGGAATTTCAAAAGAGAATTTTTCAAGTTTTCCAACCGTTAATTAGGGCGGAAAAAATATTAATCTATATGGACGATATGCTAATCGCGACACGTTCAGTAGAAGAAAATTTAACAGTTCTCAAGGAGGTGTTAATTACCCTCAAGAAATATAACTTTGAACTAAACTTAACAAAGTGCCGGTTTTTGAAATCGAAAATAGAATATTTAGGGTACATAGTCTCGCGAAACGGAATTACTATGAGTGATAGACATACGCGCGCTATATTAGAATTTCCGATGCCAAGAACCTCTCGCCAGTTACAGAGTTTTTTAGGCCTCACAAATTACTTTAGGCGATTTATTCGCGACTACGCGTTAAAGGTAAAGCCATTACACGTGTTAACTAGAGGATCCACAGACTTTGTTTTCGACGAGGAATGTAAGCAAGCCTTCGAGGCATTAAAAAAAGAGCTAACCGCTCATCCCGTACTGCGTCTTTACAATCCCTCGGCAGAAACGGAATTACATACCGACGCGAGCAGCGCGGGTTTTGGAGCTATCTTACTCCAAAAACAAGCCGATGGAAAATTAGCCGCGGTCGCGTATTTTAGCCAAGCTACCACTGACGTTGAGCGGAAATATCATAGTTACGAGTTGGAAACCCTAGCTATTGTCAAGGCCTTGGAAAGGTTTCATATATATTTACAGGGAATACCCTTTAAAGTAATAACAGATTGTAACTCGTTAGTTTTAGCATTAAAGAAGGTCGATATAAATCCTCGAATTGCGCGCTGGAGCTTGACATTCCAAAATTACAATTTCGAAACCATTCATAGAAGTGGAGAAAAAATGAAGCATGTGGACGCATTGAGTAGAAACATTTATGCGATAGATGCTCTCACTATTGAGGACGAACTAATGTACAAACAGCTAGCCGATAAAGATTTACAAAGAATCGCAGAGTCGATTGAGTTAAAAGGGAGTAAATATTTTACGCTCATTAATGGTATGATTTTTAAAATAATTAATGATCGAACGCTGTTTGTGGTTCCGGAAGCAATGACTGAGAACATCATTCGCATTTATCATGATGAAATGGGCCACGTAGGAGTAGAAAAAACTGTCAAAGGGATTTTGGGGCACTATTGGTTTCCCTGTATGAAACAAAAAGTTAAGTCTCATATAGAAAATTGCGTTAAGTGCCTCCAATTCTCTCTCTCGAATTACCATCTGGAAGGAGAAATGCAAATAGTCGATAAGGGGACTCGTCCTTTTGAAACTCTTCACATCGATCACTTCGGACCATTAGAGACATCCCCGGGAAAGCACAAATATATATTACTGGTGATCGACGCGTTTACTAGATACGTTTGGTTATTACCGACTAAGACCACTAACACCAAGGAAGTCGAAAAACACCTAACTTTTCTATTCAACATCTTCGGAGCGCCGCGACGTATCGTTAGCGATAGAGGCTCTAGCTTTACTTCGCGAGATTACGACAAACTAATGTCCAGATTTAAAGTGCAACATGTTAAAGTGGCGGTCGCATCTCCTTGGGCGAACGGACAGGCGGAGAGAGTGAATCGCTTTCTAAAAAGCACGTTGGCTAAAACGACTAATAGTGTCGACGAGTGGGACACAAAATTAAGTGACGTCCAATACGTACTGAATAATACGCACCACAAATCAGTAAATACCTCCCCGAGTAATTTGCTATTAGGATATAGTCAACGAAACCATAGCGATAGAGATATATGCGAACTTATTGATACGATAACCAAAATCGATACCGATATAGCGGAAAAAAGAGCGGCAATGCGAGACAGTGCGAAGTTAGCGAATCAGGCGATCCAAGAATATAATAAAGCATATTACGATAAGAGACACAAGAAACCTTCGCTATATAATGTAGGCGATCTTGTCATGATTAGAAGCTTAACAGTCAAACCAGGGGCGAATCCAAAATTGCTTCCAAAATATAAAGGGCCGTACGAGATTAAAGCGGTACTACGAAAAAATCGGTACGTGGTCGCCGATAAAGAGGGGTATAATAAAACTCAAAAACCATACAATGCAATCTTGTCTGCGGACAAATTAAAACCGTGGATTCGCATCGGAGATTATCCTGAGTCGAAAGAAGCAAACGAAAACAATAGCGAAAGCAAAGAATGTGACGCGTAAATACCAAAGTCATTGTAAATCAACGTTTATCATTTAATAATAAGAAATAGTTATAAGTGTATCTTGTTTGTAGTTTGGAAGGCTATTTGAAAAAAAAAAAAAAAAAAAACAACTTTATATATATATAATGGTATCAATACATATATGCGAGCGTTGTTCAGGGTCGAACACGAGGTCAGGCTGGCCGAACTGTAAGGGCTCCCATAAAGAAAGACAGGAATCTAAATCGTATAGATACGTGATTGGGAAGAAAAGGGGGTGATAACCCGCGAATTAGGTTGAGAGCTCCCGAGCGAGGGAAGGGGGAGAGAGAAACCGAGTGTCTAAGTAACGAGACTTGAAAAAGGGAGTCAGTCGTTTTTCGTGACGAGGATCAGCCAAGTCGGGCCCCTCTCAAGAAAGCGAGGAAGCCTTTGGTACGGGTCAAGCCGGGCCCTCCGAAGTGCGCGACCTGAAAATCCTAAACGCTGTTTTTGGAGCTAAGGCGTTGTAGCTAAATAAAGAAAAAGAAATATATCATTGGACATCTACAAGGACGATGAATTTAATCACACTGTCTTCCTACCCGAGCACTTCCTTACAATATTCAATTTTTTAATTTTTTTAAACTTTATTTATTTAAAAATATTATAAAAATGCTTAGTAATTTTTTTAATACGATCGAAATATCATATTTTATATTCAATGAATTTTTGGACGTTGTTTAATAGGCCAAAAAATTCATTCAAAATTTTGCAGTTCTCATTTTACGCAGACTCTATTTCGGAAACGTTACATTTATTACAGAAACGCTCTTACATGGATATAATACTCGCAAAGATCTGCTAAAAAGCAAGTTGCCATCGAAAATAAAAAGTCAAGGACCCCTCGCGAGTTGGCGTGGAATGCCCTATATATGATATATATTGTGTACATAACAACATAAACAAGAGAGTTTACGATCCTATTATCTATATCGAAATGGTATTTTTCCATAGTTGTTATAATTCCCGGCATGTACGCGCACACATATTCACACACATGCATGATGTAAGAACTCTGTTATTATCCGCAAACTTTCCTCGATTACCCCCTTGTCGCGGTAAGACAAGTTTTATCGATCGTCCCACACACGTACCGTAAGAAAATATCCTTGGTGCTGTGATCTTGACACTGGAAAGGGCCCCTACGTGATTAAGTACCGCACATCGATAGCCATGACATTGGACGAAGTGCACGAATGTCCTGATGTAAACACTTTCTGAGCTGTTACCGATGCCGGGACAGATAGCTATCGTAATATCATCTGGAGAACATTAGTTTAATTTGTAACATCAAATATTACACCTTTTTTTTAATTGTTCATTATTAAGCATATTCTCTCGTAAGATAAATAAGTCATCGGTGGTCAAATGTTTGCCTGTTTGATTTAATAAATCTAAATAGCCAGTATTAGTCATAATTATTTATTCTCTTAATATTTGGACTGGCGATTAAAAAATCTAATCATTAATAAATAAAAGTGTTTCGCTTTTTAAAAAAAAAAGCCTTTAGAATTAATTTATGAACATTACCTTCATGTCCGTTGGTCAACGGCTGATAAAGATCGTACGTAAGAGTGGTATCATCCGGAAGACCGATGTACACGCGTTCGCCAATAGGCCAAGGGCATCGAACGCGCCCTATGACGCTGTGAATGATGGTTTGTACGTGTCCGCTGAAACCCCACAACCTCGTTGGTTTGTATCTGTAAAACAGGCCAAGGATCGTAACTGTTTTTAATTTATATTTCGTAACTTGTATACAAGGTGAACAAAATAAAACAAATTTTTATCTCTAAAAATATTGTTTCTAAAGAAAAATAAAAGTTGTAGAATTTCGAGGGAGAAAGAAGTTGGCGCTACTGAAACTTTCCTAAAGAGCGATCTTCAAGATCATTTAAAGGCCATTTGTTTTTTTTAAATGCCTTTTTTATCAATCAATTTTTTCATTATTTTGTACATAAAAGTATTAAGGTAAGATATTCGAAAAATTTATATTAAAATTGATTTATGTAAAAATTGAAGTGGTTCCATTTTTGTCCTGTACACCTGAGATACATTAAAAAATTACTTGTAATTAAAAATACAGCTAACGTTTTAATTTGTAATCTATGATTTTATCATTTCCTTTTTAACCGAAGATTCCTAAACTTCAAGAACATAGAATTTAATAAGATATAAATCAGAATTATTAAGGATAAAAAATGAGATTTAAGATACAAGCAATTAGAACTGCAAAAACTGTCTGAAAGTGCGTCCCACTTTTTTATGAGAATAATGATCGATGAGAACAACTAAACTAAACTCCATCAGTATTTGTACACTTTCTTTACGGCGCATTCTACAGCTCTAAACAAACTCTGGAGTATAAGTTCCACTCGAGTAGGTATTCATAATTACGTTGTAACGGTACTTAGATATGCCAATATACATACATTCAGAGGAACAGTATATACGTTTGAAAATTTATTATTATTAATCACTGCGGTAGAATTGAAAGATGTAAATTACTACACGTTTAAACAGTTAAATATTTTGATTATGCATGTGCTTCATCACACATTAAAATAAATGTTCACATAATTGATTACAAAATCAATTTTAGATATTTCAATACATCGAATATAAAAAGCACGTTATTATTATCAAATTAATAACAGTATTACTGTAAAAATTTATATTTAAGTATAAAATAAAAAAATATGTCCCACGCGGTATAAAAGATAACTAATTTAATATATTATAAAATTGATTTATCTTTTTAGCACAAAAATATGTTGATTTTATAATGTAATATAAATAATCTTAAAAATCTATAAATAATCTTAATAAGAATTGAAAAAACTTTTTGAAGTTGTTGTATTCTGTTGTATAATTCTGCTTAATTCCGTGAGACACACTTTAACTTTTTTGTTTTAAGAGAAAACTACTATACTTGTATATCACGCATTTCACTAGGCACATCAGTGAAAAGTCGTGTCAGACAAAAGATTGCATCGTTAAACTTCTTTATAGAAAATAAACAAGAAGTCGTAGTGGAACACAGAACAAAATGCTAGATGATAAAATAAATCTATAGAAAAACGTATGAAAAACCGGATTATTATTATACTGCAAGATCTATTTGCATGTCAATATTTCCAATTTTTTGTGAAGAGACGCTGTCTTTTGCGAAAATACATAAATCGGCTCTAAAACTCATCCTTGACAAGAAAATTTATTCTGTGAAATCGCTAAACAAAGTATCTATACTGACATAATTACATGTACTTATTCGAAATTGATAGTTCCGGATTCATGATAATTTCTGAATCATCGGAAAAACATAAAATTTGTGTCGAACTAAAACCTCAAACCTTTCTCCTTTCACCTTTCATCTATAAATCGCAAGAAAACTGTAGGTAATATCTGCGGTATCTAATTATTAATATCATCTAATTATTAATATCATTTACTGTTACAACTGCTAAAAAACATATGGCAGTTGGACGATTAAAACCATCTATAACTATTGCATTTTAATAGCAGAAATGTACAAAGTTACACGACAACGACGGATCAATAAAGTATAGTAATGCAGTATCGATTGTCCAGAGAAAAGCAGAGACTCCCAAAGAACTTGTACTACTTGTTTTTTTACTTGCCAAAGAAATATGTATTGCATCGTTACTTCGAAAGGTCTATTTCTTTTAAGTACAGAAAAAATTCAATTTTAAATCCGCAGAAGAAATTAAAAAAGAGATATTCAAAAGCTTATTATAAGATAAAGTATATGATGTAATATAGTAATATATATATATATATATATATATATATATATATATATATATATATGTGTATATAATATATTTTTCGTAAAAAAATTTATTTTTAATTAATAAATTGTTACATTCGATCTGACATTCTAACTCTCTCCTGAAACTGATAGATCTCTTGATAATTATTTTTCAATTTCTATTTTCCATTCTAATTCACTGTTGATACAACTAAAACATGCTGAATCTAAATCAATAATAAGATACATATTTTTCCATTCATTCTTGCTCTAACTTACTTTCTATTCCATCTGTTTTTCTGAGTGACTTATAAATTGTAGGAAGAATGAGAGGAGAAAAGATCTGTCCTGAAATGTCGCGAATTATAAATCAACAGCATAAAATTCTTTTCTCTCGCAGTGAGTTAGCGTAAAGTTGAATGTATAGTTACAATCAATATACCCTATTACCATGGTAATTTGCCATTGTAAACGCAAGAAGAACCGTGTCAATATTGTTCGCGCCACAGCTGCAAAATCATCGCGCGAATTGTGACGTGATAGGGAAAAGTAGGGTAAACTGTATGTAGGATCGGGGTAGCCTAACTGCCAAAGACGTGTAGAAGAAGTTCTACGTGTAATGAGTAGTTTCCCCATTACACTCCGATTTTCGAAACACGCAGCAATCAAGTGCGCGAAAACTCCGTTCTACAATCACATTTATCTGAGATCTCTAAGTAATTGCATTCCGTAACAATGTGTTAATTTTATACGCGAAAAAATTGCATAATAAAACGTGGAAAGTTTGGATTACCTTAATTATATGTTACACTTCCTCAAAAATATGCATAAGAGTATAACACGTAACGCTTTTATGAACAATGCAATCTATCATTGAGTTTTTAAGGGGACGCGGAATTGAAAAAATTAGCCTATTCTCTCTCCATTATCTTTACATAAGAATTTACATAAATCACCTATAGTATAACATATAGTATTGAATCAATAGCAGTACAAAAAGTTTCAAGGAAACTCAACTTTTAATATTGCAACAGAGTGTCTGATATGATTATACAAAAATAATTTGTTTTAGATATTAAAAAAAGTATATATAGTTTTTTATCATTCCTATCTATAATTTGCTAAAAATTATATTTGCATATTCATTATCCTCATTAGTGGATCTTGACGTCGATAATGGGAGAAAGGGAGGGTTTCTGCGAAATTATTTAATATTTTTTGTTTCATGCTTTTACTCCAGAATCAACGACGAGGAAGTGATAAAACTTCTGATTCCATTTTTACTTTTTTGTTTTTTTTTATTTTTAAATTTAAAAAAAAATTTTTACTTTTACACACTTTATTTTTTATATGCTTATTTATTTTTTCTTAAATTTTTTCTTTTATTATTCTTTTATTATTCTTTTATTTTTTTTCTTTTATTATTTAAATATTTTCACGTCGATAGACCTGCTTTTGTTTTTTTCTTTTTCTTATATTTTTTAAACGCAGTCAGCAAAACTAATTTGCAAGAGGGCGGATTTAACCTAACCCCAAACTCCCCTTTCCCCAAGATCCGTTAGTGATTATTCTACAAGTCATATATATTAGATTGCTAATCGATTCGCTATAGCTCAGAGTTCACGGTCATAACTAGTACGATCGATCAAAATGTCTAAAAGCTATCCATTTTTGCTGGACGTTATTACGTCGTTCATCGTTCGGGTACTCTGACCAAAAAACTGCCATTGCTCGAATGTTATAATAGTATTAAGTAATTTGTTTTTATATTTTATAACATATAAAATATTGTATTATAAGACATACTTTCACTTTTACTTCCTTCATTAATTTGTTGTTATACGATAGAGTATTTAAAAGAGAAATTAAAATATGATAGAGAGCATTTTTTGATAATACGAGAATGCATAAATAGTGATCTTATCATCTTCAATAAGCAAATTATTTTATTCGCTATATATTAGGTCAGATTTAGTAAAAGATCGCAATTGAAATAAAAACTGTCAATTTGCTAATCTTATAGTTTCGAGAAAGAGAGAAAGAACATATAATAATAATCATAACATATAATAATAAATAAGAACATATAATTTAATCTTGCTTTTTTATAATTATTTTTAATGTTAATCATTTATTATATTGAGATTTGATAATTTAAAAAATATATATTTACAATAAAATGTATATCAACTTACTATTCAAAATAAAAATTTTTTCCATATATATCATTAATGATTGTGTCAATTAGTAAAATAATCCATTCAATTACATATTATCAGGGTTAGGTAATCTTAATGATTTCTTATACTAGTTAAATTAAAGTTAATTGCTTATAAAATTAATTTAGTTAAGTTAAAAGGTGCATGAATAAAAATTAACTCATTGTTAGTTAAAGTTAAGTTAAGATTAAATTAACTCAAGTTAAATCAAAAGTTAATTTTTAAAAACATTATTTTACTTGTATCACTAAACGATTTCTACATCATTGGTTGACAAATAAAATTAATTATTTAAATGTATAATTCCTTTCCTCGCAACTATTTTACTTTTCTATCGTTCTGATATCATATTCTGACATTGGAAATCTTCGAGGAAAGATTACACAGATAAAATTACATTATTTTTCATCATTTATTAATCTAACGAGATAATGATATCGAAAAATTATATAGAGCGCATCAATTCAAGTTATACAAGATGTTTTTAAATAAGTGCGAAAAATTTTAAAAAATGATTCTTTGTTAAAAATTAAGGTGACTTTTTCATATAAATATATATCTCTTTCTGAAGAATTACACCCCTCCAAAGAAGAAAGTAAAAATTAGGTTTTTTTATTTTTCTCCCCTCAAAACTATTGATTTTACGAAAAAATATAAAAATAAGAAAGTTTCTAAAGAAATCAAGTTTTCTAATGTATATTTTTAGATGATCACATTTCGATCGGTTAAAAGTTGTAATAAAAAATTGAATAAGAGTTGTTAGTTTCATCCTCTTATAACGATAGTGGAATATTTAAATATTATTAAATATCCTTTTTATTCGTGGAAAATCCATCAAATTTCATTTTTTACTTCTCCAAAAAAATTGAAAACCTAATCCAAAACCATCTTGTATAGTTATTCAGTACTTTCTTATATTTACACTCTAATGTTTACGACTGTATATAAACTTATCCGATCTCAAATGGCGCTTAATTCTTTACAATGCAGGTTGCGTGATTTCGTTTCAACTATAGTCTTTGCGATTGAACTTTTTGAAGCATACGTAAAATCGCGAGTTAAAAACAAATGTGACATATAGGAAAACGAATACGCGAAAAAGAAAAGCAGTTCTTTTACGTGACGGTGAATGCGGAAATGTGCAAAAAAAAAGAAAGACGCACGTGAGAAGTTCAGTTGAGTGATAATGACACAAGAGCGGCGTGCTGCAATATTTGCAACGTAGTAGTCATTAGAAAGAAGAAAGCGACGAAGGGAAATGGCTCGGTTCTCGTGCGGCTCGCTCGCTCGAGCAAGACGGAACCGATTTGAGCAAGTTGCATGCGAGACACGAACGCCTCGATCTCGGCGAGACAGGCAAAGTATAACGATCGAATACACGACTGCGAAGATGGCACACGACAATCACAGGAACAGGATTGAGATCTATAATTTCCGATTTTCGCCGCGGTACGTTCAAACGTTAGGAAAAACGACCGGCGGGAAGTAAAAGCAACACTCGACAGCTGATTGCTAGGAAATTTCACGATTTCTCAATAAACTGCGTGAGAGAGAGAGAGGGAGAAAGAGAAGTCCTTCACTGTGGGATCGAGCATAATAATCATCTATCGCAATCGCGCGTCAGCGAGAGGTCGAGAATTCGTGGAATTCCAATGAGATTAGTTTTCGACATTAAACCACGTATACATGCTTAGGACACTTTGCAAAAATTTTCAAATGGAAAAGCACGCAGAAAAACTTTTAGCATCATTTTAATCTTAAAATTTAATGTATATGTTGTATTATCATTTTAAATTTAAATGTTAAAGTTATTGATTCTGTCACGTAAATTTAATTACTATATAATATGTAAGCAATCTTTTTAAAATTGACATCTAAAATAAATGCTATTAACTGTAGTATTAATGAGAATCATTTTAGTACAATTATTACTGAATATATTTTAAAAATTAATTTTGTAATTATTATGAAAACCATTACAGTACAAAATTATATGTAATATATTATAATATTATTCAAACATTCTTACATCTAAAATTTCACGCATAAAACATGCATATTTTATAATTTATAATTACAAAATCCTATTTTAGCAAAATATGTATGTTTTACAGAATCATCTTGACACTATTATTTTGCAGAATTAAAGGTAAAGCACCAAAGTTGATGAAAGTTGATTGATTCTGACACGAGTCAAACATTTATATTTGTAATTAAATTCTTGAATCATCGATGACAGAAACAAATGCGCAAATTCGTGACGTTAATATTTTTTCTATATGCGATATAAAGTTTAGAATCGTTATGTGTTTCCGCTTTCTTAAGCGCTTTCACGCAACGCGATTGGAATTAGAAAGAAATTACAATTATAATAGCAATGTATATTAAATTTTACCGACGATACATTTTTTTATTTTTTTATCATTCTCGGACTGAGATTTTTCCACGATATATCAATGTAACGCAGTGCGAAATTGCTTTTCTTCGTTTTCACGTGATTATTAATTTTAGAAGTGTAGACATACATACACACACATATATGTAGTATTTCTAATGATAAAATATAAATAGTTCTATGATAAAATTATTAATATCAATAAAAATATCGCTTTAAATTAAATTATATCCCAAACCTGATATCTGATTTTGCATAAAAAACATTCATTTTGTTCAACCTAATCTACGTTGCATTAATCGAATGATAGTAGCTTCGCGACATTTTTCCGTAAAGTGAAATCGATTTTGTCAAAATGTCTTGAAAAAACTGTATTAAAACACAGTAAACTTCATTTATACACATTAAAACGTAAATTTTTCTCTTACTATTTTTTAGTACTTTTGAGACTCTATTCATCCAATGCAAAACCAACCTATGTGAATCATTTTTCGTGTTATCCGCGGGATAAAGAAACAATAAAATCAATGAGAAAACAACGTATGTATATTATAAACCGTCTAAAATCGGACGTTCTGTTATTCTTTAGCTTACATCATCCGCGATCGGAGACATGATCTCTTTGGCTGGATAGTGGAAAAAAATCGATATGACGCATGCATAGACTGCAAATGAATGATACGATTCGTATCTTGATTCACGCATTTTTTCCCACACATAAGTACGCAAATAAAAAGTATGGCGATCACGTGCTATTCTTTCAATAAGGAAGTAGAAAGTGCTGATTACGTCTATCTCTGTGAAATAAATAAAACGAATGCGATACGTTATAGAATTCGATTAGAATATTAATTTTTTTCATTGCAATAAAATTCAAATTTTTATTCAATGTATTTAATATAATTCAAAAGAAGTTATCATATTTGTTCAACATTTTTCGATTTCGAGCGACTATTTTAATAAAAATTTTGTATAAATACAACTGCAAATAATTAGTTTAAAATTAGTATAAAAATGATAGAGAAGAATTTTGTTTATTATTTTATTATTTTTTTATATTTGCTACTTTGTTTGCTAAAATAAATATGTATTAAAACACAGTAAACTTCATTTATACACATTATGTACAAATAGAAAAATCATTAAAATTAATTTTCAAAATTAAATCACGTAGACTTTTTATTTGAGTCCAACGTTTCGTAAACATTTCAACTTTTTCAAAGAGAAATAGTCTGATACTAGACAAAATTATCTAACAAATCAACTTTGTTTTCTTCATCTTTATAATAAAAATGGCATTTTGACGTAAAATTAATCTCAATTTCTTTTTTGCATTAAATCAGTAAACTCTACTTGTTTTCCTTCTCTACGTACATTATCTGTGCGTTTTTTTCTTTTTTTTTTTTTTACATGAATCAATTCTGTTGAGATAAAACGGGGAAAGAGGCATTCACAGATAATTATTAATCTTTGTTATGTGATACAACTTTAAATTTAGTAATAATTCATGAATTGCAGAAATGATAAATTTATGTAATATATTTATTTTACTTTTTTAATATATTAATTTAATAAACATTAGTTATATAGCAGCTTGAGAACAGAATTTATAGTAATGAAAGCGTTTAACGTCATCGTCCATAAAATTATACTTTGCTACGTTGTACTTTGACTACTGTAATCGCACATATCATTCTCTATAACAACCGCCTTAAGCAGTTTGTTGTTTGCGAACAAATGCCTATAACAATCTATTATATCCCAAACATATCTGATTTTGCATAAAAAAACATCCATTATACTCATTCAAGAGCACTCACAATAGCAGTAAAAGAGCATTTGCTATAACCTTCATATATTATGTAAGCAGCAAATAAAAAAAATAAATTAAACTTTATATTAATGGTAACATATAATTATAAATTCTAAATAGAATTTTTTATTGTTTTAAAGTTTAAATAATAATCATAAAATGTGTATATTTCTAATTTTATTTTGTCGTTCATACTATGCTCAAAATCGATTGAATAATTTCTTCGCTAAAAAATACATATTATATAATGCATTAATATCTCGTAATCTCCCCAAATAAAAAAGCATACTTTTTAGCATCATTTTTAGCAAGACATTTTAGCATTATTTTAATTGTAAAATGTATATATTGTGTTATTACTTAAAATTATCTATATATATAAGCACCGTCCGTCTGTCTGTCTGTCTGTACCCGAACTACTTCCGCATTTGTGGACCGATTGTCTCGAAATTGGTACCAAAATGTTGCAAATTTTTCGGGGGTGGCTGCTGTGGGTTTTTTTTTTTAATTTTTTTATTTTTATTTTTTTTCTCAGAGGAGGGTATGTTTTTGCGAAACAAATTTTTTTTGCAATATTTCTAAACACATGGTATCAAAATGTTGCAAAATTTTTGGAGATAGCGACGATGCGGTTTTTTTAAGTGTAACACCTCCACCCACGCATCCACCCACGCATCCACCCACACGCATGCGCATTTATGGACCAATTTTCACGAAATTAGTACCAAAATGTTGCAAATTTTTCTGAGGAAACTGGTGTTTTATTTTTTTAAGTTTACGCCTCCACCCACGCACCCACCCACGCAATCGTATATTTATGAACCGATTTTTTTTAAATTGGTACCAAAATGTTGCAAATTTTTTGGAGATGGCGACGATGCGGTTTTTTCAAGTGTTACACCTCCACCCACGCACCCACCCACGCGCATGCGCATTTACGACCAATTTTCACAAAATTAGTACTAAAATGTTGCAAATTTTTCTGACAAAGCTGGTGTTTTATTTTTTTAAGTTTACGCCTCCACCCACGCACCCACCCACGCAATCGTATATTTATGAACCAATTTTTTTAAAATTGGTACCAAAATGTTGCAAATTTTTTGACGATGGCGACGATGTGGTTTTTTCAATTGTTACACCTCCACCCACGCATTTATCCACGCGCGTGCGCATTTATGGACCAATTTTTACGAAATTGGTACAAAAATGTTGCAAATTTTTTTGAGAAAGCTGCTGTGTGGTTTTTTAAAGTTTTATCTCACCCACGCATTCACCCACGCATTCACACATTTATTCACAGACTTTTTCGTAATTTGTACTCAAATTTTGTTGGGGATGGCTACTATGATTTTAACAAATTTTTATCATCCTATTCATCCACCCACGCACCCATGCACCCATGTGCATACGCATTTATTGACTTGGTCACACCAATAAGTAATTTTAAATAAATTTGTGTACATGTTTGTGATTGCAAAAATTTGCAACATTTTGGTACTAATTTCGTGAAAATTGCATACAAATTAAAGGTTTATTTACACGAATTGCACACATAATCACAAATACGTGCACAAATTTTTTAAAAATTACTTCTTGGTGTGACCAAGTCAATAAATGCGTATGCAAATGGGTGCATGGGTGCGTGGGTGGATGAATAGGATGATAAAAATTTGTTAAAATCATAGTAGCCATCTCCAACAAAATTTAACTACAAATTTCAAAAAAGTATGTGAATAAATGTGTGAATGCGTGGGTGCATGCGTGGGTGGGATAAAACTTAAAAAAACCACACAGCAGCTTTCTCAGAAAAATTTGCAACATTTTGGTACTAATTTCGTGAAAATTGGTCCATAAATGCGCATGCGTGTGGGTGGATGGAGGTGTAACACTTGAAAAAACCACATCGTCGCTAAAAATTTGCAACATTTTGGTACCAATTTTTTAAAAATCCGTTCATAAATATGCGATTGTGTGGGTGGAAGCGTAAACTTAAAAAACCCCATAC